TCACTATGCAGTTCAGGCTGGTCTTGAACTCACTTTGTAGCCCAGGCTGGCCCCAAACTTGCAATGATCCTCCTGCCTCAGCCTCCTAAGTGCTGGAATTACAGGTGTGCCCCATGCTTTGTTCACTTTAGAATTGGGTTATCTTTTTAATTTTGACTTTTAAGAATTATTTATGTATTCTGCATACTAGATTTTTATCAGGTATATGATTTGAAAGTATTTTCTCTCTTTTCGTAGGTTTTCTTGATAATGTCCTTGTATCACAAACAATTCAATTGCAGTAAAGTCCAATTTACCTATTTTTGTTATTGCTATTGCTCATACCTAAAAATCTATTGCTAAATATAAAGTCATGAAAATTTATTTACCTGCTAAATTCTCTTCAAAGAGTTTTCTAATTTAACTTATACTTAGGTGGGTTTTTTTAAAATCTATTTTGATGCAGTTTTACAACAACGTGAAGTAAGAATTGAACTTTATTCCTTTGAATGTGGGTATTCAGTTGTTAAACAATCTGTCAAAAAGATTATTCTTCAGAATGGTGCCTTTCCTCATTAATCTTGACCTCTTTGTCAAAAATCAGTTGACCATAAATGTGAGGGTTTATTCCCCTAGTTCCAGATTATTTGCATCACTGAAAGCTTTAAAAAGTTTGCCCTCACTGCACCTCATTGTTACTTGTCACTTCTTCCTGTTTGCTGTGTTGGCTCAATTCCTGACCAGCGCTGCTGGCCTCAGCATTCTGCCCCTTGGCCTTGGTTCTCTAGTGCTGCTATTCAAAGGTTGTATACAGCCTCTTCCTTCGTTCCTTACAAATACAACCGCACAGTTCGTAGTAAATGATTGCTTAAGTTTGAGGGTGATGAAAGGGCTTTACTGAATAGAAAAAGCCCAATAACTTTAAATTAGTAACAGACCACAGTGTTCCTCTCCCAGTTGTTTTTTCCTGAAGGAGATTCTATCACAGTCATATCTTTCCCAAGCCCTGGCCAGCCATGTATCCCTCTCATTTCCTCTTTCCCCAGAATTTCAGAACTCCAGTGTTCCACATTAGGCTAAGAAGGAAACTAAACATTTCCTGTTACTACATTTTACAGAGCATTTTTTCTACTCATTTGTTTCAAGTTCAACCTTCTAACCTTGAGTGTTGGACAGTTGTTGAGGCTTGGTAGGCCTGGGTGTATTTAACAGTTTCATCACTATATCCTTCTAAGCTCAACAACAGTCTTCCTTCCAGTGTATGACCTTAAGCTATAGAAACAACCCAAATTTTAGAAAAGCATCCCGTTGTCCCTTTATTTCCTGTTACAGTTATGTTTCAGGTACCAAAAAGAAATGAAGAGAAACTATGTGAGAATAAAATTTCTCATGAGGAGTTAATAAAATATCTACAGTGCAGGATTTGCTTTTATAACAAAAGTGATATCTTCTGTGAGCTTTTTGGGATAAACTAAAGGACAGTGAACAATATGGAGGGGGGATGGGTTGGGTATATTGGCATGCATGGACTATCTGAGAGCTTTTATTTGCTGATAAGTGGCATACTTCTGATATGCAATAGGGCGTAACCCTTACAAAGAATTTGGAAGAGGACTTTGAACTCTTAATAAAGGTTGCAAATTAAGAGGCCAATGGTCAAAAGTGAAAATGTACAAGACAAAATAGTTGCAATAGGAACAGTGCTGAAGGTGAAGTTTTAGAGTTCAATTTGGAAGACTGACTTTAGGAACCAAGTTGTAAAAGGTAGGGGGAGAAGAACTGAATCTTAGAGATAGGACTTGCATGTGAGGATTCCAATGTGAGTTGGAGAGAAGACAAAAATCCATCACTGCTGGTTAAAATTTAAAATAAAAACGCAGGAGAAAGCAGAAAGTGATGTGGACAGCATGTAATTTTAATTGGCTGTTTGGATATTAAAACACGGCTAGCACCTCATCCGTCCAGATCTCCCTCCTAAGCCTATTTGATTCTCTGCCAAACTTTCTGCAATAAAAAGTCTTCAGGCTCTCTGAGCAGAGAGGGAAAAAGCAAGCAGACAAGTCACAACAAGATCACAAGGTAAGAAGAGTAAAGCCAGTCTTATGGGAGATTTTTTTTTGGTCAAGTTTTGCAAAGATAGATCTTGAAAACCATAGAAAACTGTTTTTCCTGCAAAATGAAGTATTAAACTAATTTGTTTTTAATTATTATTATTGAAAATAGAAGTAAAAGCTGATGATAATAGTTGCTACTATCTTATAATTCCATTTTGCTTTCTTTGAGTGATTTGTAAGATTATTAATAAATTGTCTAAATAGATTACAACGGTCTTTATAGTAAATGTTCCTTTCCCCATCAATGAAACTTATAAAACAATTTGCTCATTCTACTTCATACTGCTAATGCTTAAGCAAACTTATTAGCAGTTGTTTGTAAGTGATTTTTAGTAAAAAGGGGATAATGAGAAGAACAATTTTTGAAAAAGTATAGAACTGACAATGTAAATTTGATAAATTCAAAATCTCATCAATTTTACCATTAGCCTTCATTTAGAGACTTGCCGTTGAAAACTGCTTTCTTCTTTTAATGCCTTGCAGTGTGTTTCCTAGCAATTTCCCCTCCTCTTTGCCTTATCTTTCCATAAGTGAATATACACCTCTGGACAATTTTAGTAGAGAATATGACACCAAATGCAGAAGAGTATACTGTGGCTGGACACAAGCTGGAGACTAAAGCTGCACTGGCCAGGGTTACATATGGGTGGATCTTTCTGACTCTTACTTGCTCCTCAGCGCCGTGCTTCTTCCATTTGAGTCACCCTTGCCTGCCACGGTGGTCCAACGCTGCTGTCAACAGCCCTACTTATTGCTTCTCCCATCCTTTCTCAAATACCTACTACTCCTCTTTTGGTTTCTTCGCACAAAGTGCATCAGAAAATTTCAGAATCCTGTGTTTCTCAGTTTAAGGTGCTTGAACTGAATCTCACAGCTGGACAGTGCCCTTAAACACACAAGCATTCAGCCTGGGCACTGCTCCACTCCCCTCAAATTTCACATTTTATCCATTCATCTTGCAAGGATCCTCGATTTCTTTCGCTTTGTTTTCTTTTCCTTTTTTCTACTTTTCTTTTCTTTTCTTCCCGGTACTGAAATTGAACCCAGAGAGCTCTGAACTATCTTCTCCTCCCCTAGGCTCATGTTGCTTTCTAAAGTGTTACCAAGTTGTTCGGGCAGGTCTTACACTTCTGATTCTTTTGCCTCAGCCCGCCAGGTTGCTGAGGGTCCAGGCATGTCTGATTTTCTCACTAACATGAAAAGAATCACTTTTTAACCAACATTTATAGCCAGAATGCACCTCTTGCCTTCTTCTTATTTACAGAGGAAAGAATCTGGAGGCAAATTTTCACTCAGTGCTGAAAGGAACAGAAGAGAGTGAGAAAGGAGAGCTGTCACTACTGTCCAGGGTCTGCCACGAGTTACAGAGAGAGAGCTTCTGGGAATGCATGTAGGCTTCATCCGTGAAAAATTCAGCTCTACTAAAAAATTAAATCATTGTAGAGAACTGTTGCAGAGGGGTTATCACTGGGAGAAGAAAAGATACACGTTCGGGAATATTTATGCTAGGAAGTCTGACAGCATGAGGGTTTGTTTGCCTGCTTTCAGATTGTGACTGTGACAAAACCAAAGGATCTTCTTACAGGTTCAAGGTTTGGTAAAGACTGTGGGACTTAAGAATGCCAGGTTTTTCCTTCTTTGTGTCCCAATTAGCAGAAGGGACTTATTTTTTTTTTTTTTTGGTTTTTCTCCGGTACCGGGAACCGAACTCACGACCTTGCGCTTGCCAGGCAGGCGCTTTTGCTGCTGAGCTAAATCCCCAGCCCCAGAAGGGACATTTTAGAAATTCGTAGACTGAAAATTTAACTCCTTGAATAGTAGAAAGAAACCTTAACGCTGTTAAAAACACAAAAGATGCTTGGTTCAAGGGCTTTAGGAAAGTATGGCAGAACCTCTAATCTGTTTTTCCTCTGGGTTTTCTGGTGCTAAATCTAAATACAAAAGGAAATTTGTTTGGTTTTTTTTTTTTTTTTTTCAAACCTTGGAATTGAATCCAGAACTTTGTGTACACTAGGCAAACACTCTTATCACCGAGCTACACCTCAGCCTGCAAAAGGAACTCTTAAGGAAAGATAACCTTACAAGGCAAGCAAAGTTCATAAGGAGGGAAAATAAAGGAGAATCGGATATTTGAAGTGCTTTGCCCTGCAGCAGACTTCTGTCATATGTTGCTATTATTATTGGTAATTTAGGCCATCCTGTGAGGGTTTTTGTTTTATTTTATATTTCTTAAAGAGTGTGATAAAGCATAACAGTAAAATCCACAGATTATCAAGATTGACAAGCTTCAAATCCAGTATCCTTGACTAGTAGTATGATCTGGATCTTACCTAACTTTCCTGTGATCTCCCCCAGTGAAATTATGAAAAAAAGAAAAACAGCAACAACAAAAACCCAACTCAGGAGAAATATTCTGATGAATATAACAAGTTACAAGTGCCACTAAAAGTAATTTATCAACCACTAACACTTTACTAAATGTGACACATTTAACCCACTTTATTGTGTATAACCTTCACATACATCTGTGAGATAAATATTATTTTCTCCATTTATGAAAATAAAGTAAGATTTGGAAAGGTTGTAATAACCCAAGATGATGAAGTTAGTGAATTTCAGTTCACATATCAAAATCCAGGGCCAAGTCCCATTTGGGTAAAAGAACTAAGAAGAATGATTCTAAACCACTTCCTTTATTGTGTCTCTAATCTTCCTTGGGAAGCCCTTGTTTTGATTCAGACTTTCCATCATTTTCAGATAAAAAATACGAAGGAGATAGCATTACACATTCCACTTATTTTTTTCAGTGTTACAGTCACTGTTACATGAGGGAAAGGGTCACTGCTAGCCAGTGTGATATAACTTCTTTAGCCAGTCCTGTAGCTATGAACCAAGAGAGGGACACCTACAAATTTGGCTGGCTGCCTTACTTTTAATGAGTCTCCAGTCTACATTCATTCCTTGATACCTTAAATACCTCATAAATTAAATGATTATCTAAATTTTCCCTAGCAATATTAGTACATGTGACTATACTAAAAATGTAATTTTAAGAATGTTTTCCTCATTATTTCCCCTGAAGTTCTTAAGAAAGACTCAAAATTTTCCTAAAGTGTTTAACAGAACTTCATAGTTTTGTATATTTGCTGTGCTCACATCTCAACCACTCTAGCTTCTTAGCCTGACTGTTTTTCAATATAAGTTGTTTAAGAAATGCTATTTAAACAGTTTATAGTTACTTTCCTTTTCTTCTTTAAGACACAGTATCACTATAGGCCAGGGTGGTTTTGAACGCTGCATAGCCCAGGCTGCAGTCTCACTTGAGAGCCTCCTGCCTCAGCCTTTGGGAGGCTATATATATTCAGCTTAATTGCAGTAACTGTCATTATCTGTGAGTGAAAAGACTTAATTTTTACGTGTTTTATAGTAATTAAATTAATATTATATCATACACAATTCATTGCATTAGCAGACAGCCATTTGTTAGTGGGAGAAAAATCACATGGTCTATCCAGGTGTGATATTCAAATCATTTAACAGCAGGTACAGCACAAGCAAAAATAATTAAGAAAGGAACCAACCTTACACAACTAATCCAGCCCATGAAGCCTACAAACTGAACAGAAGCATTAGGAAGGACTCTCAGTTTGGCTAGTAACTCATCAGTTTACTTGGGAAGGTGTGGCAGTGAAGGTGTGATATTTGTAAGGCTTCACAGAACTTTTAACATTCTATTCTATAACAGCAGTGTTTCTGTCCCCAAACAACAAGCATATCCCAAAGACAGGAGACAAATCCTGTAGAAGTTATGTAGCAGTAGCTACAGCCTTTGTACAAGGAGAACTTTTCATGTATCATACATTTATAATTAACCTCTAAATAAAGATAATCCGAAATAATATTTTTGATTAGTTTTGTATCCAGCACAGCTCTTGAAGTTCCTGGGGGCAAGGACAGTTGGAGGATGAAGAAATGAAGACAAGAGTCAGAATACAGAAAGCTGAGGTCAGGTGAAGCCCTCTCTCCAGAGGGGGAAAAGGAACTGCTCAACCACCCCAGTGCATTTATTTATACTTTCGGCAGGTTGATGTCATGTGACACCCCTCTGCCTAGCAACCTGTTTGCATGGCAACCTCAGGGTGCCTTACGTTCTCAGAGGTAGAGCAGCTTGTTCACATGGCTCTCATTGGGCACTCTTTGTTCCTGGGAGCAGTCTTGGTCCAGCCCTAACGCGTGATCAATCTCCAGCTTCAGCCACTCCCCATATCTCCCCTTTTTCTGTTTTGTAGTTGCAAGCAATGAGTGGTCAGTTGAATTTGGAGTAGCTATGTTTGGAGACATTGCAGAAGACATTCTCACTCTTGAACACTTTTTATTCTGAGTGAACTTACTCCTAAGCTAAAGATTTCCAGTCCAAGGATTTTAAGTCCTTGCATTTAGTAATTTAATCCTATACAGCCCATTAATCCATAACAGTAGTCAGTTACCAGTGTAGCTGGAAAGTGTCAGAAGATATTAGTGATTTGAGTTTCTTCTATAGCTAGCATATTATCATGGCATTGTCTTCTGTCTCTTGTACTTATACTTTTCTGCAGGGTGTTCAAGACCAAGTTAAGGTGAGACCTGTATTAATTACAATTAATCTCTTGCTATGTATCAAAGTCAGTTAAGTCTCCTCAGGACTTACCTTGGAACCATGTATAGTACTTCTTAGTTCTTCTGTCAATGTCAGCTGTCTGAATGTGTCATGACTATTATTTGACCAAATTGTTTTCTGTGAAATCTTGGGAGACTTTTCTCTCTCAGTGACTCTCCTTAGGCACACTATACACCACTGATCACTTTCCTCTGTGGTCCCACAATCTTCTTGATTAGAAGACCAGGGACTCACTGATTTATAGGATGTCACAGCAGAGGTTCTTTTATGTCCTGGGTCTTCATTGACCTCAGAGGTCTGAAGCTAAA